CAAAATCAACAAATAAAAACCAAACTGACAATAAAGTAACATTTCCCTTCAGGGAAATTTTCCTTCTCTCCCCAATGAACAAATGTGTATGAGGCAGTGCTGGTCTGAGATTTCCCACAACTAAAAGGATAGGAAAAAGCCCCATAGCAGAAAAAATTTTTTTTTTGGCCCCAAAAATTTTTATGAAAACCCTTGCTTGAAAAAGATTGTATATATCGTAAGAATTGCAGAAGATTTTTAAAGCTTTTATGATGGAAATTTTTTTAAAAAACCTTTTAAAAAAATAACTTTCTTTCAGGGTCCAATACAGCTCGGGCATTCCAGCCTTTGTCGGGTCAATATATTCCCATTTTATAGCTCAGGGGGGGGAAATTCTAAAATAATTATTAAAAGAAAATTAAGACATTTTATATATTATCTCTTAAATTTTAGCATCTAGAAACGGTTTCCTTGTTTTAAATTAAATCAATTAAAAATTAGTTTTTCAGGGTAATTTTCCCTGCCCTCATCACACTGGCACAGCAATAAACAATCCCCATTCATATGGACCTACCTGCTCCACCCTTCAGGAGCCCATTCCAAAGTCACCAATCATATGTTAATGAGCAGCTCCTCTGTGTTGGCCAATCAGAATCTCCCATCAATTAACAAATTCCATTTTCTCCTCACATATATACCAGACCTCCACTCCTTACTTTCAGTGACTCTCATTTTGCTTGTAGCAAAAGTGATTTATATTCTACATTGCTTCCCACCAGAATTGCTTTTCAGAAGACCGCTAAGAGATGTACTTAGCAGAAATTTAAATAGTAAAAATGTAGAATGTTCTCTATTTTTTCACTGACCTGTTATTTATTGTCAGACAAATAGGCCTTTTATTTTAGAGATTGATATATTGATTAAATATCCACATGATATTGTGATCATTTATTTTTTAAAATATATTCATCATTAAGCTTTACAATCAGATATTATTCATTCTTCATGTACACTTGAAATAGTTTAAAAAAAACAATTACTCCTCAGGTTGTCTGTTAGATGGTAGATTAGCAGTTGCTTGTTAAAAACAATTCAATTCAAGTTTTTTTACTGAGTTCAAGTTTTTTCCATTCCTGATTTTGCCATTCCAAAATTTTGCCATTCCTGTAATTTTGCCATTCCTGTAATTTTGCCATTCCTGTCTGACTTTTTTCATACATGCGTTTTTCCTAATTTTCTTTGTCATCATATTTTACAATGACAGCCTAACAATACAGATTTCTTAGCAGAAGGTTAAATTGCCCTACAAAAGGGATTCAATGATTGTCTTTGGTTAGAGATCCATAGATTGATGGAATATCCACATTATCCTGCAATATATGTAATTTCTACAATCTACCCAACCTCATGCATTACATTCAGATGTTCTTTCTTCATGTATCCTTGAAATAAAATGAAAACCGTTCCATCCGAGGTTGTCTGGTAGGTTGTAGATTAGCAATTGCATGCTAAACAATTCAGTACCAAAAGATTTTTTATTTCCCTAAGTTTCATATGTTGCCATTCCTGTCTGTCTTTTTGTACACGCCATTGTTTTCCTATATTTCTCATTCATCATATTTTACAATGACAACCCAGCAATACAAATGTCGTAGCAAAAAGATTAAATAAATAAAAAAATGTTTTAATGTTCCCTGAATTTAGAAGATTTTATCTTTATTCCCTTGCCTGTTATTACCCTACAAGAAGGATTAAATGATTGCCTTTTGTTGAGCGATCCATAGATTGATGGAATATCCATATCTGCAATATTTTATTTTTACAATCTACCCAACCTCATGCATTACATTCCGATGTTCTTTCTTCATCTTCCCTTGAAATAAAATGAAACCGTTCCATCCGAGGTTGTCTGAGAGATTGTAGATTAGTAGTTGTGTGTTAAACAACAATTCACCATCAAAAGTTTTTTTCACCATTCCTGTCTGTCTTTTTGTACATGCAACTTTGTTTCCCCCCTAATTTTCTTTTTTTTCCAAATTTTCCAATAAGAACCTGTTTTAGCAGTAAGTTAAATAGACAAACGTTTTTATGTTCCCTCAATTAGATTTTTTACCTTTTATCTAAATTGCCTGTTATTGCCCTACAAGTATGAATAATTTTTTTTTTTGTTTAGAGGTCTGTGTATTGATTGCATTTTTTTTTAGAATATAACCAACCTCATACATACATTGAGATTTTCTTTCTTCATGTATCCTAGAAGTAAAATTATACAGGTCTTCTTAGGTCATCCTAGATTGTCTGTTAGGCAATTTTCAGTTTGGTTTGAAAGCACAATCCAGCAAAAAAATGTTTTTTTTTTTTATAGTAATCGGGTTCCAAATTCCACTATTCCCATTTGTCATATTTAGTACATGTGGGGTTCTATTTTCTCTTCCACTATATTGTTACAATGACAAGCTTACATAACATTGACTAGAATGTTGGCAACTCTGACCAGCAACTCAATACAATGGCTGTAGCTAGAGGCCAACTCCAGCCAATCCCATTTATTTGCTTGATTTATGAATGAGTTATAACTTCTGTCAGGTTTTTATTACCACCTGGGTCCTTATTGGGAAGATCCACTAGTGACCCAATACTGGGACACACATGGCAATAAACACCTGACAAAGATATGAGTCTGAGTGCTCCTCTAACTATCTTGTCCTGATGACATGCTCAGATATTTGTTGTACTTTGCATTAAAAAAACCTATATATATATTTTTATTTTTTTTTTCTGTTTATCTTCATGCCTTGCTAGTCTGGCTAGAATATTCTATGGTAGATTTTTTTTTTTTCCCAAACCTGGGGTGCCTTGCTGAGTTCTTCAGCATGCCTTGGTAAAATTGCCCCAAAAATTCCCCATGACAGTAAATGGATCAGTCCTGCCTTTTTGTTACACAAACCACAAATTTGTATTGTGCAGCATTACAACCTTGGGTTCTGTGGGGTCCAGCCGCTGACATCCTAACAACGGATGATGTAATTGGTTGAAAAGGAGGACATCAGTCACCTGAATCCTTGTTTGCCCCTCTCCATCAGCACTGGGGTCACTTTAGCTGAGTGAGGGAGAATGTTGGGACATGTTGGTAGCAATGTGCAAAGGTGCAATAGCTATGAAAGACAAACCACTTCTAATGTTGGGGGTCCTACTTGTGTGGATGTTGCTGCGTTACGTAAAACTATTTGTTTAGTTCTTACATTTTAGCATGGGGTGCCTCAAGATTGTGTGGAATTTTAAAGGGCACGTTGGCTAAGAAAAGGTTGAGAAAAACACTCATCTATGGTGTATGCATAGCAAGACCAGTATAGGTCCATGATGAGGGACCCCTTGTATTTCCCTGTTACTATATCATGCTAGAATGCAGTTTTTCATTGTCCAGTTATACCTGACTCTGGAATATTTCCTATTGTGAATTGATATTGGTCACCTTTGGAAATAGCCACCAAACCTTCTTTCTTTCTTTATGTACCTGTTATTAATCTTTAATAAAAATATCATGGGACAAAAAAAATTTACAAAACCTAATAAAAGTTTTCATTCTTCCCCCACTTGTGTCTCCTAAAGGAGGTTTTGCTGACCACACACATGAAGTGAGGGAAGATCGGACGGACGTCAGAAATGGGCAAAAAAAAGTTAAGATGTTCTAACCCTTTTCAGTTTTTGTCCAAATTCTTTGGTTGGATTTGTGCTTGAAGTCTCAGGAAGTCACATATCTTTAGTAAATAATTTTACTGTATTACAGCAAAGTAAAACCAGGGACTTCCTAGGATGGCACCTAAGGACAGAAAGTCAACACCCAGCTATAAAAGATATTTTCATAAATGTTAGTCATATCATGCAAAAGTTTAAAAGATTCACACATGATGTTCAATACAAAAACTTTTGTATGATGTGACTAATACATTTGGAATTTGTATCCCTATGTTTTGAATTGATATCCCTGGCTGCCATCCTAGGAAGTCCCCGCTTGTTACCTTGTTGTAGACATTTGTTGGTTTGGAATGATGGCACTCTCGGTCCTTTGCCCAGTGCCATTCTACATCACTCCTTTCTCTCTTTGGAATCTATAAAATAATTGGACTTCTTACATATAACTTGTATGTATCAGAGTAAGGGTTCGTGTCCATAGAATCAGTTTGATGTCCATTTGAGACCCTTCTAAAATAATTTATAATACTGTATATTGACAGGTGAATTTGATCGGCTTCAAGTGGGTTTTGCATTACCATAGACTTATATAGGAAAGCAATATCCACTTGCTGTGAATAAAAGCTCATCAACATAAGCCCAACATGTATTTAATAAGAATTGTAAGCATATATCAGCTTTAAAATGTAAAATAACTGTCTTTAGTTACAATACTACCCCTCCCCCCACCTCTAATGAAGGTGACAATTAATAACAGTAACTGGGTGATATCCAGAGAGATGATTAATGCCGCTTACTAATGATTAGTGCCAAATGAAACTCATTTGTATTTTTTGATGTTGTGATTCCAGAATGGCTTCTAGCATTGTAGAAGTAACCAAGAACACTGCAAGGAAACTTCTTGAGCTCATTGCCGAAACCTCAGAAAACCTGACGATGATGGAAGTCACAGACCACTTCCACCCCATCAAAGAGCTCGGGAACAGGATCGTACGGAAAGGTTCTCTTGGCCAAACATCGGGGTTCAGGTAAATTTGTAGCCTAATTCATGTAAAGAGAATGATTTACAGAATCAGTTGTGCTTCTGAGTGCTTTTGAGCAGCATTTTTAAGTTTCTAAGTTTTCCAAGTCCCCCCTTGCTTCCTCTGCAGATTTTTTTGATGTGATGGTTATGGATCTTAATAAGTCAGAGCTTTTAGATTTACATAAACTTTTAACTAACTTTAGCAGGTTTTTAGCAAGCTTCATTTCATTTCTCTAATAGCAGGTTTTGGGCTTTTATGATTTCTCTAATGTTGGGTTTTTTTATGTCTTTCTTTTTTTAACAGATGTTGTTGGTGGCTATGAAACTGATGAATAAAGAGAAAACTCCAATGGACAACTTCCTAGTGGAATACGGAATGTCTCTTAGTCTCAGCGGCCATCCAAATATCATCGAAACCCATGAAATCGCTTTCCAAACCAGCAACGATTATGTCTTTGTCCAGAAGGTGGCACCAGCTGGAAACCTCATTCATTCAATAGTAAAGCTAAATGTAAGTTTGTATCAAAAATGTATTGATCTTTATAAAGTCACAATTTCTAGTTTTAGTTGCTTTTGAAGCATTTCTGAGTTTTAAAGGTTCCTTTCCCAGGGCAGTGAGTTGGTAGGATGTATAGTTGGCATACGCTTGTTGTTTTAGGTATGTGTATCACTCAAGATATGAAGCAAGGTTTTAAAATGGAGTAAGATGGGTTAAGATGGATCTTGCACCATTAATGGCACCATTTTGTATGCTGACAGGTTTCCTTTAATCCTAGTCCTTGTGTATTCAGCTAATGTATGTTTGTTTCCCTGTACAAGAGGTAAGGTGGGTTCAATATGTTGGGTAACATTGTGTTATATTTGTGTCTAGTGACTAATTTTCTCTCTTTTTTCCCTACAGGTTGGTTTAAATGAAGATCTTGTAAAGGGTTTTGTTCCACAGGTAGCGAGTGCCTTAGACTTTATGCACAGCAGAGGAATGGTCCATCGGGACATTAAACTGGACAACATTTTGCTCATGGACATTGAATGTAAGGAAGTCAAATTAGCAGATTTTGGACTGACGAGGCTCCGGGGCACTCAAGCACCATGTATGGCCTGGTCCATCCCATATACTGCTCCGGAATTGTGCAGCTTAAAAGAAGGGGATCAATTGCTGCTGCACCCGAGCATTGACGTGTGGGCGTTTGGAGTCTTGTTGTACACAGTTATGACCGGCTCATTTCCTTGGGAAGAAGCAGGGGGTCATGACCCCATGTATCGGGAGTTTGCTTGGTGGCAAACGAAGAAAGACCTAACCTTGGCACCAGGAAAGTGGCAACAATTCTCCATGGAAGCCAGGCAGATGTTCTGGGACTTGTTGGCCCTCAATGCCTCTGAGAGGTGTTCTGCTATGGACATTTTAAAATATGTCCACCTGCCATGGACAGCAAAAATGCCTCCAGAGAATCTAACCAGGAAAACGGTCATACATGTGATATAACAGAGTGCATGATGTCCATTGTGGAGCCTCATCAAGTGCTGCCTCATACAAGTCTCATGTCCTAGGGGAAGGTAAGTCTAAATCTTAGGACTGCTGGCTTTTTCTGTATCTGGTCACATGTTTGCTTATCTACTGTAATTGCTGATTTCAGGAATACTAACTCATAGCATAGGAAAACCGTATATAATGAGCCACAGAAGCACAGATCTAATTGGACCACATGTCCACTTCTTTCCACCACAGTTCTCAAAAGCAATTTCACTATTCAAACATATACCATTCTAAAGCTATAACACCGATGTATGCTTACATGGTACCTACACTAATTACACATTCATTCTATTTGGCTTTAGTCTCCCAATGCTTCCCCTGCCTAAGAAAATATTATATGGTCAAATTATGGGACCCTCTGCTCCAGGGCCACAGAGCAGCTAATGGCATGGTTATACTACATAGAAATTACATTGCACTTCTTCTCACCATTGATTTTATTGTTCTCCTTAAATGGCCTTAAAACTCATTTCCAGTTTTATTCTTTCATGTGGTAGGAGGGGGGGCCTGTTTAAAAAAACAAGCAATGTTCACCCTCCCCAAGCTCTAGTGCTGCCCCATATTGTCTTTGCTCCAGATTCAGTCTTTTCCAGGATTTGACACCCAATGTTATGCAACATCTTCTGTGAGCTGACAGGGAAATGATTCAGGGAGCCAAGCTCACCGCATCACATGAGCCCAGTTCTCTGCTGCAGCAGCATTCAGGACCTGTTCCCTGCTGGAGGATAGATGAGGATGGGAAACACATGTCAATCATATGTCCAGCCCGGCCAGCAAGAAAAAAGACAGATTTAAATAAAGCTCCTAAACATGTGTACTATATTAGAACAAATTGACATTTTTTTAACATTTTGTTGGTTTTCTTTTCCCTTTTTTTTTTTGTTCATTGTCAAGTGTATTGGAATGTGTGTTCTGCAATCCTTCTGTACAAGGCATATATGGTAAGTATAATATTGTCATAATATAAATGAAGACTTTAATGACTCTATTGCAGTATGGACTGAGGAATCCTTGGATACATTGATGGAATGATGTTACATTACCGAGCCTGAGATCAGCCCCCCCCCCCCCCCCCCAGCTGCATAGTGTAGTAACTTTTGCTAATCTGTGGTTACTCCTCCTGTGCACTGGGTGGTGCTCTTGTGCTTCTTCACCTCTGGTTTATTCAATATTGTATTATTATGTTTATACAGCAATATGACTATTACTAATACTACTATCACTTTATACTACTTTACTACTTCTGCTGCTATTACTCCCACATGTATGGAAAACCTCTATTTCTTTGATGTTCCAGTGTTCACATTTAGATTTTTCTGTTCTTTTTTTTTCTATTAACATTATTTTGAAAACTTTACACTATTACTAGCAGCAGGAGAAATGAGGGGCTCCACTGATTGATACTTTCCAACCGTTCCCGATTTGCAGGGCATGCCCCATTTTTTAGTTTATTGTCCCATGACGGTTGTGTCTGGGCTGTGTCCTGGGATCACAGCATGAGGGTCTGATGGTTTCAGCAGTAACAGCATCAGTGTTGGCTTCTAGTCCTGTTCCTTGTTTGCCCACATTCCCAGCAGCAGCTGTGCCCACTGATCTCGCCCTTTACCAAGTCACAAATACCAGTGTATTGCATGCTATGCCAGATGGCCCTTCTGGCCAAATTAGGAAAAGGATCTGATCTGGTGGAGGCTCTTACTGACTTCATGGGTGTGTCCGTTTTATAAGACACAGCCTTGGTTGCCAGCTAAGGGTTATCCACAATCTCCTGCAAGGAAATTTTTTTTCCCCCCAATGTGCTGACCCAAGTTGTCAATCCAAATATTCAGGTTGTGAGCCACACATGCAGCTGCCAAGGCTGGTGCCACAGAGGGAGAACTTGCTTCCTAGATTATCCTAAGGAGGTCCTCTATCTTCCCATCCATTAGGGTTAAGATGAAGGTTTAGTCTGGATTTTCCTTTAACTAACACCCAAACCTTTCCCCAAGCATCATAATGTAGGAGCTGTATTTCTAACAGTCCTACATATGACAGCTTCCCACTGTCACAGGATTTTAGGAACCACTGCTGTCACTGGGAATCCCCAGCCATGTGTGTGTGTGGGGGGGGGGGCTGCATATGGGGACCACTTATTTTATATAGGGGGTTTCCAGGTTTCAATAAGTATCTGCAGAACCGAACAACCACCAATCAGGGTTGTGGGGAAGAGACCCTTGTCCTCATTTATTATAGGGACAAAGTGCTTTGCTAAGGGTCCCCCTGGCAAGGCACCCCTGAATGTTGAGGGCATGTGGCCTGAGGCTGAGATTTTTTTTTCTGATTCCTTCCTCTGATTAAGGTCCTTCAAGGATTGATTCATGGGAAAGGACCCTCCCCTTTTTGGTCTAGCAATCATGCAGGTCTTTGCAAAAGCCCAATGAAAAATATTGTTTTCTGTGTGCCCTGTTCACACCACACCATCTGCACATGACATTATGGTTTTCTTTATACCCATGCAGAGACCTGAGAGGTGCATAAAAATATGTCAATGCACATGGTGTGAGTGAGCCCATAAGGTACACCCAAAGCAACACCGTATCCATGAAGTCTTCAATGAGGAGGTAATGAGGTAAGCATTAGGAATGCCATTCCCACAACCATATGGGGGACAAGAACCTACCAATGAAGGGTATCCTGGGGAAAGAGACAAGAGGGAAGTGCACATATGTGCTCCCAATGACCACTGGCCCAACAGCCATCCGGTAAAAAAAAAAAAAAAAAAACCTACATCACACTTTATTCCTGTTGGCAGTATACACAAGCAGAACTGGAGGGGTGGGTGGGATATTGTATGCTGTCTTGTATTTCCTGTTGAGTAGAAATTCATCTCTGGTTGGACCTTGAAGATGGGGATATACCCTGAAAACTTGTCCTGAAAATAGAATGTTAGTGCAAATAAAAAAAGTATCCAGGACAGTACTCAATTGTTCTTGTTAGCAGAAAACTAAAAAAAGAAATGTGTGGGTGGGCAAGACTTTAAGAACTTACAGTTTTGTCTTCTGTGAAAATTAGATCACTTTTCACAGAGAAGCACAGGGGCAGCTGACAGGCATCGGAGGCTATACTGCTTCTTCCTGAATGTTTTGGGTTGTCTTGGACAGTTGAGGAAGTATTTTCAATGGATTTTCAACTGCAAGCCTAATGTTGGACAGGCAGTTGCAGCACAGCTCTATTCACTTGAATAAGTCACGTTCAGCAACAGTACTGCCTACTGAATGTGATTTGGGGGGATCATTTTGGATGCTGACCCCACTGAATCAATGGGTTTGGGCATTTTCAAAATGGATGTCATTGGTGGTCGACTTCTTCTTTCTGGTTCCCTGTGCCGGCCCATTGATGTCCTGTTTTATAAAACATTCTTAAGTTAATTAATGTAATTATTTCTAAGAACACAATTACTAGTTCTTATAATATAGATGGACAGCATAAAAACAGCAATGTTAGGTGATCGGGCCCCATATTGTTGTGGGAGGGTGTGACCTACTGTTGGGTCCATCCTTCTCAGCATAGTCTATTTGGTAGGGCGTCTCCCACACCAGCACTGTATATGCATTTCTGTATTTAGTCAGTGGGGTTGCTGCATTGCTATGTGTACTTTCACAATTCTAGTTATTTTGATTGTAGAAGGTTTGGCAGAACCTCAGGGGAACATCCCCTTCTCTTATTACTGCTTGGAGCCAATTTGTGGGCCGAGGCCTGGTTATGTTCCCCTCCCCCCTATTTTTGTATTTCTAATTTGCATTGTTTATTGTAAACCCAACTATCTGATTTTTTTTGTTCCTTTTTTTTTTATTGATTTGTTTTTTGTTCTTAGTTATTTTTGTATCTTGCATTCTTTGTACTGTACTTTGTAATCTCTTAAATTCTGATCAATAAAATATGCGTCCCCAGTGGTGTACACCTGGCGAGCTCCGTGATTGCTACATCCTACGGACACAGCTGATCATGTTATGAGGTAAAACCTGGTACTCTGAAAGGAAGCCACTGAAGGGGATGATGTCATATGATCTCTCGCCACTAGATGTCATGTTCCCAGGACAGCAGGACGGGGATCCCAGAGACATACAGTTGTGTCCAAAATTATTCAACCCCCAATGCTGTAAAGGGGTTTAGGGACTATAGTGTACATTTGGAATTGTATTCAGAATCAAATCCTACAAGGACGTTGTAACTACCCAAATGCAACTAAAATGACATCAATTGTTTATGTAATACAGTAGTAAATGGTTCTTATGTGGTTTCTTCATTGCCACAATTATTCAACCCCTTAAAGACTACCACTCTGAAGAACAGAGGTTCATACAGGTGCTTTCCATCAGGTATTGAAAACACCTGTGGATGTCACCGAGCAGCAATCAAGCATAATAAGCACCAAATTAGGCAGCTTTAAAATGACTGTGATACTCAGCTCCTTCTAGACATTTACTGGTGTGGTTACAAACATGGTGAAGGCAAGAGAATGGTCCAGGAAGACAAGAGAAGAGGTGATTTCTCTTCACAGGAAGGGCAATGGCTATAAGAAGATTGCAAAGATGTTAAACATACCAAGAGACACCTTAGGAAGCATCATTCGCAAATTCAAGGCAAAGGGCACTGTTGAAACGCTACCTGGTCGTGGCAGAAAGAAGAATGCTTGACTTCGACTGCTGTGCGCTACCTGAAGCGTAGAGTGGAGAGAAGTCCCCGTGTGACTGCTGAGGAACTGAGAAAAGATTTGTCAGATGTGGGTACAGAAGTTTCAGCCCAGACAATAAGACGCACACTGCGTAATGAAGGCCTCCGTGCCAGAACTCCCAGGCGTACCCCCTTGCTGTCTCCAAAGAATAAGAAGAGTCGACTGCAGTATGCCAAAAGCCATGTGGACAAACCACAAAAGTTGTGGGATAGTGTTCTGTGGACTGATGAAACAAAAT